ACTCTACATCACTGCGCACCAATATGCAGGATGCAACAATTATAAAAAGCACAGAGGAGAGACAGACCAAGGTCACAACGAGAGAGAGCAACGTTGTCCTCAGAGGAAGGAAAAGCACTGCATCCCCAGCAGGATGGACTTGTTGCTGGAGGTTACCAGAGTGGGACCCATCAGATGCTCCTGACAAGTGGAGAAACTGTGTCCGTATTGGTGGGATATTCTCTGGGGCAGAGTTAGGCCACCACTCTAGAAACTGCTTTCTCAGACTGCTCACCCCTCACTGCAATCTCCCCTAAGAGCTGCAGTGATCCATGACCACAGACCAGACCTCTAACTGCTGGTCAACTCTCTTAGCTGTATGAACCAGGGTCCCAGGACAAAAGGCAGGAGATAGTATGGCTGAGAATCTCTCATGTGGAAAAGTTAAACACATACACCCTGACAGTCTTATCTTTATGTGTGTAAGGAGATCACAATTTATTGAGATGAAAACTAAGCAACAACAAGAAAGGTCTTCACCTCAACCATCTCATGATCAGATGTGAAATTTACAACTTAATTCATCTACACCTCTTTCTATACAAACTGATCTTTGATATCTCCCAAAAGGGGTCGGGGCAAAAAAGTATTTCACATATTTTTAAAACCTCATATGTTGCTCTTACACACAATCCCACCAATATTCAGAAAATGTGTGACAAAGTATTAGACACACAAACTTAAGAACATGATCTATTTGTTAATTTCTGAATTAAATGTATGTGTGAAAACAGTAAATAAACATTATCTAAGATGCCAGGAAGAAGGGGCTTACTCAACTTGGAAAGCACCATTACAACAACCTGTAGAGTAATGATATACACATATATATCTTATTCTCAAATGTTTGGCCTTCCAGAACACTGGTACCATGTGAATGAATTCACTCTTTTCCTCAGTGTTTAAATTTTATTGCTAGTAGACTGTGATCTTCAGTTCACAAAATATTTGTCTTTGAATGAACACAGTGACACTCTAAATGGACACCCTTTGACTGCAGTTAAATGTTTTCTTTTTTACCCACATGATAACAATCAAAATTGGTTAAAACACATTCTAAAATATTTTGTGTCTCTACCTTCTAATTTTTAAAAAGTCAGTAAGTTGTACAATTTTGCTTTTTTATAACCAGAATTCTATTAGAGCTATTTTGTAAAAGAAAATATTTTCATTAATATTCAATCATCATTATTAGAAATATTCAGGTATTTAAACTTTGATAACTAAAAACAGGAAATTAAGCACTATAAATAAATAACATACTTGAACATTCTGCAGTAAAACAGACTCCATGAATAAGAGCCTTTTCTGAATCCCACACAGGCTCGATTTAAATATAAATTACATCTAATTGAAGTTAAAGTTTATGCTACTAAGAAGCTAATTCCTAACTTATATACTTATGTTTCAATAGAGAGGGAACAAACAACATTTCAAGTAATCAAAGAAATTCATATTTCTTCTTAGAAGTTAGGTGACATCATATGGCTTTACATACGCAACTGAACTATAAAAATCAGCTTTGACAGAAGAAACATAGTTCCTTTAAATTATATAGACACAAGTATCACAAGCTGCCAAGTTGTCTGTCAGGATATCTATCCCTATGTATCACTTGAGACATAAAATGAGCTTGTACTCAACCCCAAACACCCTGTGTCCTTCTGGTAACTATCTGAACCCTCATCACAGCAAAGAACACCTGTGTGTTCTTCTTCAGCTTTCCAACTCTGTTCTCCTGTCTGTATTATTAACATTCATTATGTGACAGCCTAGCATTAGATGAAGCAGGGAAGGCAAGCAGATGAAATTCTGTATTAACTTCTTTGTTGGAAAGACCTACTATACAGCACAGGGAACTCTGCTCAATGTTATGTGGCAGCCTGGATGGGAGGGGAGTTTGGGGGGAGAATGGATACATGTAGTATATGCATGGCTGAATCCCTTTGCTCTCCACCTGAAACTATCACAACGTTGTTAATCAGCTACATTCCAATATAAAATAAAAAGTTAAAAAAAATGTCTTTGCTGGATAGGAGGAGGAGGAAGAAGAAGAGGAGGAGATGAGTTGCTACATCAAGCTTCTAAGATTCAGGAATGTTTTAGTTTTAAGAGTTCATGTTTTAGTTTTTAAGAATGTGTAAGAAGCAAATTATTTTGTTTGAGGAGCCCATTTTTCTGGATATGTATTAGATATACATGGATTCTTAAGGAGAGGAGCTATAACTAAGCATCAGGATTGAATACCACATACACTCAGAATTTTGCATATAAGGATGGCAGTTGTAAAGCCTGAGGAAGTCTTCCGACTGTATTCAGAATAAAACTGATTTACTTTATTCTGGGTCTAATGGAGCCAGGACCCAGAGTTCTAGCACAAACACAAAGGCAGAGATAACACAGCCCTGGGATGCGCCAACCCTTCTTCACTTCTACATTCACCCTAACTGAACCCTTATAGTACCAGGGCCATTACCCACGAACTTTTCCTCCAAGCAGACTTCAGTTATCAAGTTTACTGTTTATTTAAAATAAAGAGTAAAACACTAGTAATGCAAAAGCAATCACTTTGTGAAAAAGTTAACTGGCTAATTTGACATTTTTAGATTAGTCATTTTTCTAAACTCCATGTCTTACCCATTATCTTCCTAGGTTTTAAGTGCCCTTGTGAAATTTAGTGAAGAAAATTTTTATAAACATGAGTTTTTTCCATAAATTTATAAACACCAAGGTAGATTATTCTTCTTTTAGAAATTTTGTTAAATCAGAAACTTTAAAACCTATTATATGTTACTCAATGTAATTAAATAGAACGATTATAAAATATATATAGTAGATTTTTTCAATAAAATGAAATATAAAAATAAAAGACTTTATATTAGCGTTCTGCTTTTCTTCATAGTATTATTCTACAATTCAGCAAAGGGCATGAAAACATGAATGTCCTACTCCAACAATCTAAGTACCAAAAGTTAAAGTCCAGGAAGTGTTGAGTCAGACAACTTTTATGAGATTCAGTTACATTAAAAAAAAAAATCATTTTCAAATACACAGGCTACAAAACAAAGTGCTTTTAAATGCTTTAAAAAATGTTCAGATCCAGTGCAATGATTTTTGCATAACTGTTGAGTTCAGGGGTTTATGAGACAACATTCAAAGAAATTTCAAATGGAATTTCAATTCTTTGAGAATAAAGACACTGGCTTTCTATTTAATTTTCACAGAAATATAATGCTTCTCTGAACAATGCTGTATTTACTATATGCTAGTGATTTACTTCAGCTAATATTGACCAGATTTATTTTTATTTAAAAATAAGAAACACCTAAATATGAGAACAATGCATCTCTCAGTGAATCAAAATCTAGGTTAAAAAAAAAGAGAGTGTGAAAGAAAAGGAAATAAGGGTGAAAGGACCTCCACATTCCATAAGGACAAGTCCTCGGGCTCAGATACTAGAGTATTAACAGAGAAAAGAAATTATGTACATTCAAAGACAAAAAGTCTCCATTATAATTAGTGCTTCTACACACACACCCACACACAAACACACACACACTCTCACATTCACAAACATTTATACTGAAACCAGTGGAGAGAGCTATTAAAAAGACAACCTCTCTACTTTGCACAGTTTAAAAAAAAAAATCTATCAAAAATTTTACATAAGTGAACATTCATAATTATAACCAATGGTACATGTCTACACTGTCTAAAACTCAAGCCAATTTGAGTATGCATTCAGATTTGAGTAGAATCACATCTACTTCATTTTCAGGTTACACATATTTTGTCCCACATATATAAGAAGTGTGCAGGCCCTCAAATTCAAAAGTCCCTCAGACAGCAAGTCGGGTAGGGCCTCAAAGCCCCTTTCCTCTGGATGTGCTCCCAGTGAAAATTCATCACATTGAACAACGCAATAGTCTGGTTAAACGTGAAGCCCTCAGTGTCACAGTCCATGTGGCAGTCTACGATAAGGGTTTCTTCCTTCGGCCCAGACTGAACAGAGCAACAAGCAGGCTTTCGCATCAGTGCTCTGCTTGAAGCCTGCTGGTGAGATTTATACGCGACTGCAGTTTGGCTCCCTTCTAATGTGATTCCTGGGCTCTATGCTCCTACTAACTGACAGAAATAACAGGAGATGTGAAAAACGCAGCGATACCAAAAACAGATGTTGGTGTATAATTCCAGGACCGTTTATTTGCTCATTTCACCTTTTAATGTACAATTTCTATGCTGAAAACAAAGGGCTTTTTAAAAACTCTTAAAATACCTAGAACCATGAAACAAAGAAGATAAAGTAGGACATTTAAAGATAAGCTGGGGACTTATAAGAGGTGGGAGATGGGAAGTCAAGAGTGGCTGAGAGAAGGGTAGGTTGAAAGAAAAACCACACTATTTCTTCCAGCAATCCTACATCCTTGTTTTTCTTCCTCTTATTTTCTTTTAATCTAGTCTGGTAATAACTCTGAACAGACAGGGTGAAGGTCAGAGCTACTATGATGTCCAAACAAATAAGGAACAAAATAGAACAAGAACAACTGTTTTAGGCACAATTGCTTTTGTGCCCAAGAAAATGATGGATTTTTTTTTTCCCCTCTAATCTTTACCAAGAATCATCTTAACCAAACCTCTCAGCTTTAGAGAAATAAGGGATGCATTTTAGGTTACAATATAAAATACCTCAATTCAAAAAACAAAAAGAGTAGCAATCTTTTTTTTTTTTCCTTAAAGAGTGAGTCATGGGTTTATTATAAACAATCCCAAAGACCCCTTTCTTCGAAAGATTCACTTTGCCATTCCCACTATGAATTTCTTACTTGTTGGTTCTTATGAAAAGATGATCCAAAAGTTACCACACGTAATAGGACCTCTTATTCTACCACAAACACCTGCTATAATATTAAAAAAATAAACAGCAAGGTTTAGGTTTTCTGCACTCTTATTAACAAACTTACATGATTTCCTACTGGAAACTTTCAGGGGCTGGACTAATATTTCTGGTCGTCTCAGAGCCAGTCTCCTGGGGAAAAGAAGGTCAATATGCCTATCAATTTTCAGGACAGATCCAAGACTAATATATCACTAAAATACTAAAAGTCTTAAGAAAAAATGGAAAGTTGGAGGAAAAAATGAATACAATGCAATCTACTCAAATTAAGAAATAAATCCTCTAACTTCCAAATTTTTATAAATTCTCCTGACTCTGAAATCACTTTTTTTTTTTCTTCTAGCTTTCACATCAATGCAGTTTCAGATATTAATGTGCTATTTTCCATTTGCTTCATAACAAAAAGTGAATATGACCTGAGATTGTCATGTTATTTTTGGTCATTATTCATACTTCATTAGACAAAACAGAAATCCAAACCTGAGGGATAAAGGCTTCGAAGGCAAGGTTTCAGGGCTTATTTTATCACAACTATGCTGAAATGGTATTTTGCAGGGAACAAAAGGTCAGCTGCAGACAGGCCATGATTCTGCGCCAGGAACTCACCTTTCCTGGAAATGCTTAGAGGGAATCAGTCCTGCTCTGGGGTTGGCATCTCCTTCATGCTTTGCTTGCCACCACGTTGCATCATCTTGGCTCATAATCTGAAGAATATCTCCCTTTTTGAAAGAAAGCCCGGCTTCCTTACATGGAATTGCTTTATCCTCATTAGGGTCATAGTCAAAGAGGGCTTTGATAAACATCTAGAAGACAGTTCCGTTTACGATGAATAAATATAAAGAGTAAATGTGAAATGGCCAGTATTCTTCTAACTCTGAATTATTTAAAAAACAGAATATTAAGGTCAACTTGCTGAGACAAAGATATGTATTAAATGGAAAAACATTAGTTCCTCCTGGGGGGAAATAAAAAGGATTTTTAAGCAATGATTACCTTGCCTTCCTTCGATGGTGTCTCTTCTTTGATGCTGGGTATAATTTTAAATGTTATTGCACCCTGAGACTGAGCCTGTTATCAGAGGAAAGAAAATGTTATAAGAAAACCTTGGGAACCAAAGAGAAAGGAACTAAAATAGGTAGAAAATGAAATGATTCTGAAAATTTACAAGCTTGGGATCTTCTACTCTTAGATAAAACAAACCAAGGAAACTATTTTTGTAGAAATTCCTGTAACGGGAGAAAGTGCTAAAGTTTGTCAAATAAGTTAAAAAACATTAACCACTAAATCCTCCTGTGCACTTTAAAAACGCCAGTGAATATATTACCATCCATGTTACTTCAAAACAGAAACAGAGAATATGCACAGTGCCTTACAGAGACAGGATTAAATGCAAAGAACAGACTGCATGTGAGGCTCAGACCTTCACATCCAAGGATCTCACTTTCAGGGACAAAATACCTACAACTGTCAGTAATGCGGTTATAAATACAGGACTCAATCAGTAGCAAGGTTCATCAGAAAAATAATGAAGAACACTCATCTCTGTAGATTCTGGTTAGTAAGTAAAGTACCAAATGATGTAGATTAGTTAAAAAATGAAGAGATTATTTGATTTGGTGAAAACAAGCAACAATACCCACAATTCTTTAATGACTCCCTCACACAACAGTAGGTAACAAGGATCTACTGTCAGAGCTGCTACAGGGAACTCTGCTCAATATTCTGTAATAACCTAAACAGAAAAGAATCTGAAAGAGAATATGTGTGTGTGCTACTGAATCACTTTGCTGTACATCTGAAACTAGCATGACATTGTAAGTCAACTATACTTCAGAAAAAAAATTTAAGAGTAGGTCTTCCTTTAACACACTCTTATAGCATTCTTTCTCTTCTTTTAGTATTTGTCGTAACCAGATCTATATAATTACTTATACAATTATTTCTTAATGTCTGTTGAAGAAATCACTTCCTATACAATTATTTCTTAATGTCTGTTGAAGAAATCTTGCAGAGAACTGAGTAGAGTTCCCTGTGCTCTACCGGAGGTCCTTATTAGTTATCTATTTTATACACAGCAGTGTGTATATATGCCAATCTCAACCTCCCAATTTATCCCTCCCCCATCGCCCCCTGGGAGCCATAAATCTGTTTTTTCACATCTGTGACTCTGTTTCTGTTTTGTAAAGAAGTTCATTTTTTTAGAGCGTAGAATCAGTTTTTGTCAGCATATGGAAGCAACTCTAGTGCAGGACAGACAATCACATAAAATGGGAGTTTAACAACATAAATATCAGAATTTCATAAAGGAGCGATTTCAAAATGATAATATTGTTGCTATTGCTTTTGATAAAAGTAACTCACTAATCTTACTAAGAATATTGAAAGAAAGTAGAAAGAAAGCAAGTCTTCTCAATAATCCCTTCCCATTCTTCTAGTTTGTGCATGTGTTTTAATTTATGTAAGCCCTTACAACAGTATTACTAAGGGCTAAATCAGTGTAAGCAATCACTAGTACTATTGTTATTACTAAATCACAAGGTCTATCAGCCAGTGTGACCACTTCACAATAATCTATCACTTGGATGAACAAGTATTCAATCAGTGCAACCTTCTTAATAGTTTCTAGATAATTTTAAACTATCTTATTTATACACATTTGCCAAATTATTTCCTTTAGGGTTAATTTGCAACAGTTGAATTTCTTGTAAATACTTTTCTGTTTGTGTGTATCTATGTGTGTGAGACCATGTTGCATGGCATGTGGGATCTTTGTTTCCTGACCATGGATTGAACGCATGCTCCCTGCAGTGGAAGTGCAGAGTCTTAATCACTGAACTGCCAGGGAAGTCAACAGGTGCATTTCTTATTAAAGAGTATACAAATTTAGAGTGGATAGTTTCAGATAGCCATCTCAAAAGATTCTATTAGTTTATCCTACCAACAAAAGCATATAAACATTATTTCCTTATAATCTGGCTAACTCTAGGCATTATCAAGCTGTTAAATAACCACCAGTCCAATATTTTTCAGACATCAAGTTTTTTGGTCATTTTTGTCTGTACATATGCTTTGCTATTCTATAACTGCTTTTTTCTTAATGACTGTTAAGAACTCTCATATACATTAAAATATGAGCCTTCAATCATATAAATTGAAAATATTTTGCCTATAACCTCATTTGACTTTAAAATTTTATGTACAGCATCTTTTCCTGTAGAAAAAGTTTTCAGTTCTAGTCATTACATCTATTTGAATTTCGCATCAAGGTTAGAAATTCTTTCTTGGCCTTTTGGCTAAGATCAAGCGTAGTGTGGGGGCTTCTCAGGTGGCAGAGTAGTAAAAAAAAAAAAAAAAAAGTAAAGAACCCGCCTGCCAATGCAGGAAACACAGATGCAGGTTCAACCCCTGGGTTGGGAAGATTCCCCTGGAGTAGAGGGCAACCTGCTCCAGTATTCTTGCCTGAAAAATTCCATGGACAGAGGAGTCTGGTGGGCTATAGGTCATGGGGTCACAAAGAGTCAGACATGATGGAGCACAGTGATTTTTTAAAAAACTTAATTTGGGGGAATTTAGTTTTGTGTGAGTTGTACAATAAGGACTATTTTTCTAACTGAATAATCACTTAATCCAATACCGTTTATGAAACAATCTCACTGCTTTCACACTCAAAAATGCAATCTTAATCACTTACTAAATTTTCATATATACTGAGGTCTGTTTTGAGATACCAAGACTCTTGACAGGTTAGTAATATGTTTTTATATGTAACAGGGACAATCTCTATTTTGTTCTTATGAATAAACAAATGAATTTGAGAATTTATATTGCCAAGGCCTATAGTAGTTTCATTCCATTTTAAGATTTAAGACATCTAAATTAGTTTCACTACTTTATATACCTGGAAGATATAGGCCCCAGAGATAAATGTATCACTGGCAATGTGTATTAAAGACCTAATTTGGGACGGGCCCTGTCAAACTCCTGACCTACAGGAGCTCGTTGAATCTTCGACCGCTCCAGTGAGAGATTTACCACTTCTTATTCTCCTTTTGTAGATGAATACAGGGAAGCAATAAAAAGATGAAGGTATTTTCCAAGGACATACAGGGATTAAGTTAATAGAGTCAGGATCCAAATCCTGGATTGGCGAATCCAAATCCTGTGTTCATTACCGAGTCTGAAACACAGCGATTCAGTTTCATTTTCATGGCAATTTTAAAATAAATTTTCAGCTTACCAAGATCTGAATTATTTCCTCAGGCCTTTTATCCTCAACCGGTATCCCATTCACTTCCCTAAGTTCATCGCCAACATGAATAAGACCTGAGAAAAAGCAAATTCAGAAAACCAGCAGCATTACCTACAAAAGAAACCATGGTTTGTGACTGTGTCCACACTGAACGCTCCGTGTGGTCCCCCAGTGCCTGTGAGGGCAACATACCTCATGCCTCTCAGGTTTCGGAGGCTGAGCCCCCAGAGAACGACTCCAAGACCACAACCTCACTACACTGCCAAAGGAACAGCAGCAGCATCTCAGTCTTTTTCTAAAAATGCACATTACTTTCATCTTCAAAATAGTATTTGTAAAGGCTGCACACTTTTAGCAGTACTTTTGAAATCAGAAACATTGAAATAAGTCTTATAACCTTGGAAGCCCATATAAGCGAAGACTGTAAAGCAATATGAGATTTATCATTTATTTAAATAGGTTCATTTGAACTATGATGCTGGAGAAGACTCTTGAGAGTCCCCTGGACAACAAGGAGGTCAAGTTAGTTAATCCTAAAGGAAATCAACCCTGAATATTCATTAGAAGGACCGATGCTGAAGCTGAAGTTCCAATACTTTGGCCACCAGATGCGAAGAGATGACTCACTGAAAGAGACCCTGACGCTGGGAAAGATTGAAGGCAAGAGGAGAAGGGGGCAACAGAGGCTGAGATAGTTGGATGGCATCACTGACTCAAGGGACATCAGTTTGAACAAGCTCCAGGAGTTGGTGATGGACAGGGAAGCCTGGATGCTGTAGTCCATGCGGTCACAAATAATCAAGACACGACTTAGCAACTGAACAATAACCACATTTGAACATAGAGAAAAATACCTTATTACTGTTTTGTTGTACTGTCTAAATCCTGCTATCCTCTCAGTTATACACCGGAAATGTGACACATAAAACCCACATGACTTGTCCACACCTGCCAAACATGTGTACACTCTCACCACTTCTGTCTGCAGCTCCTCCTCTCATGATCCTGGCCACCACGATGGCCCCAGTCTGCTCATCCTTTTTAATAGTGGCTCCCTTTAAAGAAAAAAAAAATAGTATTCGTGGGTAAATGCACATACCGGGTGGTAAGAAAGAGGGCAGAAATAAGGACCTTATCTGGAAAATGTAAAAACAGCTACAAAAAAATTAAAAGGAGGCAGAAGGAACAGATATCATGTCAGGCACCTCACAAATCCTCATCATTAAACACACAGTCTTCTACAGCATATACCATCTAACGTTTTCAGCACAGTCCAAAAATTTTTGAATCTTTATTCTCTTCAGTACTATGGAGTATACAAATATCTTCTTTCCATTATGAACCTTACATTTGAATACTATTTGTTTTTACACTTTGACAGTATTTCCTCATTTCACTTTATCTTTATCCCAAGCCCCGTAAGAAGGTCATGTACATAGAGAAGGTGAAGTGAATAGAAAATAAACTAGAAAACTAAAACCCAGACCACCTGACCTTTAGTTCAGCAACGCTTCTACCACAGTATTACAGTAAACAAACTCAGCGATGATAATAAACAAAGTGGAAAGAAAAAAAACAAAAGATCTGTTACTCCTAGTTTTTATGTACTAGGATTATATGTAGCACAAATGGAACTAACATTCTGGCAGGAGATTAGGAAATAATTTCAAAAAGAATCCAGAAAGTCTTCATTTATGGGTGTTTAGAAGAAAATCAACTGAACACTTTTTGTCAGCATAGCAAGCACAAATAGTTACTTTGAATGCCTCTTCATGACTTTCTTCCAAGAAACTGGCAGTGGTTTAGACAAACCATCTATGTCACATTACACAGCTGGAGGGACACACATTAGGTGGGGGCAAGGTTCACCCTCCCAAAACGAAGTTTGATAGTAAATACATTTATTTACAGCATTACAAAATAGATAGAATAAAAGGATTCCTAGTTTTGTTTTCATAAGCGTTTTATGTATGACATTTTATTTTATGTGATAGCTATCAAATACATACCTAATAACAGCAAAAAATTAAATAATGCCATGCTAGGATGATTTTGTGGCATTTTTAATCACCTACACATGCCCTCAAGGCTGAAGACTTGAATGAGTACCTCTCCATGGTTATAAACCTTAGGCTCTCCAATTCTGGTATTTTCTGCAGGTAGCCTGCAGCCAAGATGACCAGAAATGTAATATTCTTACTACAACTAACTAGTGTAGTTAAATCAACTTTTACTTTCTTTAAGAATGTGTCTCAAACTGACTAAAGTATGCCCAATGATCAGAAGGGTCTAGTAATCTAAAATTGTTTATTGTTGTTCAGTTGCTAAGTCGTGTATGACTCTCTGCTACCCCATGGGCTGCAGCATGCCAGGCTTCTTCGTCCTCCATCATCTCCCAGAGTTTAAGTTTAATTTAAGACTACTTATCTATCTTTTATAGATGAGAAATTGCATGACAAATGGTTATGACTTGTCTAAGATCAGACAACTAGTATGTAGCAAAGTCAGAACTTATCTAAGGCAAACTGATCAGAATTGCTGTTTCTAACCTTATCATTCAAGACTACTAATCTTCTGAATCCTTCTGTAACCCTGTATTCATAAGGTTATAAATATATTACTTTTGCAGATTCAGATTATCAGTTCTTCCTTCTTTGAATGTGCCTGTCAGGTCCCTACATCGAGTGGTGAATAGATTCCAGGGCATCTAAGGCTGTGGGAAGACTTGCAGCTGGGTCCCTTGAGACACAGTATCTGTGGGATGTCAGATGCTATGGCTTTTGGCTGAGTAACTGGAAAGATGAGACTGTCCACTGGGGAACCACAGGGTGGAACAGATTCGGGGACAAAGATCGGCTGGGGCTGACTTTTGGACTGTGAAGACTGAGATGCCTACCAGACATCCAAATGGAGATACTGGGCAGAATGAAGGACATACAAACTTAAAGATTAGAAGAAATATCTGTAAGAGAAATGTGACCTGGGAGTCACCAGCACATAAGTAGTTTTTAAAGTCACAGCTGGAGGGATCACTTCCAGAATGTGCAGAGATCGGAAAGCACTCAACACTTAAAGGACTTGTTAAAGGCCCTGAAATATATTTATACATCAAGATAGATAGGACCCTGGAATGGAAATGCTGGCTATCTGCTGATTCTCCTGATCCTTGGAGGGAAAACATGGACCTGAGAAATGGTGTCTCACTTTCTACATGATACTATTAATAGCACAACACAATCTTCATTTTGATCCCTACATTCCTGAAGATTTTCTGTTTCCATATTGCTTTCCAAACCCTTATTAACACACTTCCTTGAAGTATTCTTAGTGCAATGTACTTGCATGAAAATAAGATCAAAACCCAATAAAACAAGACCACATTCCACGTGACATTGAACAAAAGCACCCCTTGGCTCCTGGTCTCATCACTTCAGCCCTTGCTTCATCATCACATCTCTTTTTGTAACTCTAACCCTTCTGCCTCCCTCTTTCACTTTAATAAGAACCCTTATGTTTACCTTGGTCCCACCTGATAATCCAAGAGACGGTCCCCATGTCAAGATCTTTATCTAATTACAAAAAGTTCCTTTTGCCTTTTGAGGCTCTGAAGATAGGACTCGACACCACTGGGGGTGGGTGGGAGGCACTGTCCCACTACCACAGGCCCTGGACATGACGCAGAGTTGCCTAAATCCCGGTGCTAAAGCAAATAGCTACATCTACATTTTGAACTATCAGATTCCTGGTTAATTTCTCATCACTTTAAAATCAATCTGCTTTCTAGAAAAGCCATAAGCAATTATTTTCAGTTGCACTTTTTAATCTCAATCAGCTGCAGCTGGTGCATGTCACGTCATCTTTTATAGATGCCAACCAGTAACACTTTAAAAATGATTGCCATTTATAACCAAAAGAATGCCAGTTTCTTTGGCTCTGTTTTAATTTTTCTCTATCATCTCCTTTAGATGTGAAGGCTCCATTCTGAGTTTGAAGACAGAGAGGAAGCTTATTTTAAAGATAGGAATAAATGATATGCACCCATCAGACTGGTCTTTATCATGGTATCCACTCATAGCTGAGCATAAAAGATGGACCAAAACTCACCAGCGGTTCTCTGTTTTTGACCAGGCGGATGATTTTCACTGAGTCTTCCTCATCGTCAATGTCATCAGGCATAGGAGGCAACACAGGATCATAATTCTTCTGAGCCACAGTGTCATGCACAGAGAGCAAAGCCTATCAAAGTCAAAGGTGAAAAGTGTTCAGTATAAAACCCTAAACACACCCAACTATGAGGAAAATGAAACCAATGTTCTAATTGTGGCACAGCAACGATAATAATGCAACTACTTGGAAAGGAACCTCTTACAAATTGGGCAAGGGGGTGCAGAACAGCAGAGGCAGCCCTCCATGGTCACTAACGGACAACAAGAATCAGCATAAGGCACCTTCTAAGCTGTTTATTCTCTGGTTCATCCAAGAAAGGTGGCAGCTGGGGGAGTGGGGAGGGGGTGTGTGTATCGGGGGTGGGTGGTTACTTTTGAAGGGAGGGTGAAAATGAGGCTATAAATACATGATCAATGGGCCAGCAGGAGACCGGGGAAACTACGCATGCATTTTTTTTTTTCCTTTCCTTCTATTAGCAGAAAACACAAAAAGAACTGATCATACAACTGAGCTTTCATTCTTCTGTGGTATTCTCACTTTTTCATGTTTAGTGTAATAGGTGACTAATGTGTATTTAAAAAAAAAAAAGTATTTCTAGTCATGACTGTTATGGTGGTAAAAATTCTCAAAACAACTGTATTGTCACTAGAGACCAAAGATTAGAAAAACATAACACATCAGTATATTTGGGGTGACTGGGTCTAGACTTTTAACTGATTTGTTTCCTAATCAGTATGATCCATCAGTTATCCCAGCCAGAAGCTTAGAAATCCTTGAAACCTCTCCTCTCAGCTACACTCCCAACATCCAGCCCATATTCTGTTAAATCTGCTTCTAACATGTAGGCTAACACTTGTTATCTTCTCTCTAGTCCAGGGCAGAGGTTGGCCGACAATGCCACCTATTTCGTAAACGAAGCTTTGTTGGAACACAGCCACACTCATTCATTGACATACGGTTTGTTTATGTTGGCTGTCATGTTACAATGGTGAAACTGAATAGAAGCCACACACACTTTTTACAGAAAAAGTTGGCATATCCTTGGTCTAGATCATCGATGCCATCATTTTTATCTGGGGCATTTTTACCTGGAGCCCCAACTGGTCCAGCTGCATTCACCTTTGACTCATTTTCAAATCCATGACTCACAGTGTAGCCAGAGTGACTGTTTTGAAACTTAGAGTAAATCATGTAACTGGTCTACTAGTAACTCCTGTAAATTTACACTGGTTTTGGGACAAAGAATGAATGAATGAAAGTTGCTCAGTCGTGTCTGATTCTTTGTGACCCCATTGACTATACAGTCCATGAATGAAGAGCATGGGATGAAAAGCAAACTCAAACTCTGAAGCACCTTCTAGTCTTGTATTTGTCTCCAACCTCACCTTACCTCCACTGTCCTCCTCACTCAGCTTACATAACTGGCCTCTTTCTCTAGAGGAGTGACTAAAACATCTGATTTAAAAGCAGACCCCCAGGTTACCTGATCTCATAGCACCATCTCCTTTGCTTTAACACATGCTCGTAATTTTTAACCACATTTATGTTTTGTCGGAGAAGGCAATGGCACCCCACTCCAGTACTCTTGCCTGGAAAATACCATGGACGGAGGAGCCTGGTAGGCTGCAGTCCATGGGGTCACCAAGAGTCAGACACGACTGAGCGTCTTCACTTTCACTTTTCACTTTCCTGCATTGGAGGAGGAAATGGCAACCCACTCCAGCGTTCTTGCCTGGAGAATCCCAGGGACTGGGGAGTCTCGTAGGCTGTCGCCTATGGGGTTGCACAGAGTCGGACACGATTGAAGCGACTTAGTAGTAGTAGTATGTTTTTATGTATATATTTGCTATCTGCTGAAACAGAAGCTCTTAAGAAGGCAAAGAAGTGGTTTCTTTATTGACTATAAGCTTTCTTATTGACTATAATAATTCATAAGCATACTGGAATGTGAATCTTCAAAAATGTCTATGTCCCTGTAAATATCACCCAAGCAAGAAACACAACATTAACAGAACTCCAAGGGGCCCTAAGTATGCTCCTTCCCAGTCACCATGACCTCTATTTAAATACTGCATAAATGGAATCATAAGCAGATGTTTCTTTTTCCTGCTAATAAGTGAGATTCATCCATGCTGTTACTGGTAGTCATTCTGTTTTCATTGTTGTGCAGCACTCTAACATGTATATATTTCATAATTTCTTTACCCATTATGTCTCTGAGGGACACTGAGGTTGTTTCACTTTTGGCCATTAAAGCAATTCTATTATGCACATATCTGTTGATGCACAGATACACAAATTCAGGTTAAGTGTATTTAAGGGTGTAATGTCTGGGTCATTAAACACAGGCAGATGAGACAAACAGGTTGCTCCAGCGATACTCCCACCAGCAGCTATGTGAGTTCTAGCTGTGTCTCAGGATCCAACAGTTTACAGTATTAGTTTAAATCTGACCATTCTGAGTATACAGTGGTATCTTCTAATGGCTGAAAGTTCATCTTTCTCGTAACTCATGATATCTTCTATGAAATGCTTGTTCAAGATCCTTGCACATTTTTCCATTCCATCTATCTTTCTCTTCTTGATTTATAAGAGTCCTTTATAATATGCTGGATCCAAAGCTTTGTGCCATAAATACATTCTCTCATTTTCCCATTTGGTAACTTGTCCTTTCACTTTCTTATTAGCATTTTTTTATTAAAAAAAAAAAGGATCCAAATTAATGAGCCCAATAATACTTTTTCCTTTATGGTTTGTGGTACCCAACAAAATTTTCAAAGGGATAGAATGAACAGCATCAAGATGACAAAATATCTGAAGAGATAATAGCTGCAGATTTCTGGCAGTTGATGGGAAATATAATCTAAAGATTCAAGAAGCAGGAAAAGTAAAAATTAACCCATGCTTACACACATTATAGTGAAAAGACAGAATGCCAGAAACAGAAAGTAGTTCTTAAAAATATCAGAGAGAAAAACACAGATTATGAGAAAGAAAAAAAAAAAATGAGAACTGAGTGATCAAGCAGCAATATAACTAGAAGATAAAAACACATTAAAAAATTATAGTCAGCTCAGAATTGTGTATCTAGCAAAAGTACTGTTCAAGAATGAGGATGGAAACCAAAGTGAAGTTACCAGGTACCTGCTAGAGAAAATTTTCAGCAAGAGATAATGAAGCAATGAATTTTTAAGACATTGGACATGAAATAAGAGAAGGACAGTGACCACTGAGAGACAGGAAATAACTGTGGGCCCTAAGACTGCCCAGCTTACTGTCTAGAGCAAGGTTCCTGGCTGTGTTGGAGGAGAAGGAACCCAGGTGGAATGCAGCAGTCTTCCTTAGTGGAGACAAGAGAGCTGGGAATCGCGGGAGGTCAAGGGGTTAAAGTTCTCAGCGAAGGGATGAGAGCAGAGTGAGCGACAGACACAGACTTTCTTGAGTCCTTGGCCAAGGCTTGTGTATGGACAGCTGCCAGAAAGGATTAGGAGAGTGGCTGGGAACTGAGGGCTGTCTGGGGACATCTTTGGATTGTCATGATTCAAGGGATGCCATTGCCACCTGGCTTCCCAGTGGTAAAGAATCTGCCTGCCAATGAAGTGGATGCAAGAGATGTCGGTTTTATCCCTGGGTCAGGAAGACCCCTTGGAGGAAGAAACAGCAACCCACTTCAGTATTCTTGCTTGGAAAATCCCGTGGACAGAGGAGTCTGGTGGGCTCCAGTCCATGGGGTCACAAAGAGTCAGACACGACTGAGCACACACGCATACACTGCCATCTAGTGCACAGAGGCCAGAGATGCTCCCAGGCAACCTATACCGTACTGAACAATCCCCGCCCCCAGATAATTATCTAGTCCTCAAACTTAAACAGTTCCGGGGCTGAGAAACCCTGCATGAGAGGAAACAATCCCTGAAGCTTGCACAGGGCAGGAATAACTCCTGTTCCCACAAGTTACAAGGAAAATTCTCACGATTTGCAGGGCACTGAGGAAAATTAGTAGAGGGGTACTATCTTCATAGTGGGAAATAATTAGCCCAAGATTACACAGTGCTAAGATCTCACTTAACACAGCTTAAAAGCAAGCCTCTGAAGGATCAAAATGTTTTCAGGTTACTTAACTGCATGATGTGAACTCAAGAATATTATCTATAAATATACAAAAATATCCAGCATCAAAGGAAGTAAAACTCACAATGATTGTCAGTCAAAAATTACCAGGCATGTAAAGAAAGCAGAAACTACACAATGGTGAAAAATACAAAGCTATTAACTAAACCCTGAAAAATTACACAGGTATTAAAATTATACAGAACTAAATCTTGAAATTACAGACAGATCACTGAGAAGAAAATTAATAGTTATAATTGCACTCTAAATGTTCAAAAAGCTAGAAGGGCTGAACATGAGACTTGGGATATACAAAAAATATTCAAATCAAGCTTCTATAGATAAAAGGTACAGTGAATGAATGAAAGAAAAGTACACTGAATGAGATTAACACTTGTAGGCAAAGAATAAAACTATGTAAAATGAAACACAAAGAAAATATAATGAAAAATCATCAACACATGATTATTGAGCTGTGGGAACTGGCATCTCCAAAGACAGGAGAGGTTCTTTAAAAAGTCCGAAGAAATATGACAGAAAATACTCCAAATTTGATGGAAATAAAAAAGCCCAAATGTTTCAAAGCACAATAAACAGAAAAGAAATAACATCAAATTGCATAAAACTAGTGAAAAAGGAAATCTTAGTCAGTCAAAGAAAAAAAACCACATTACATACAAAAGAAAAAAGATTAAAATGTCCCCTCACTTCCCATCAGGAACAATGTGAGCAACATCTTTAAAATATTCAAAGAAAACTACTGTCAACCTAAAATTCTATACCTAGCAAAAAACACCTTTTCAAAGCAAGGAATATTATGAACTTCTTAAAGACACACCGAAGCTGAAGGAATTCATCACCAGCAGACTTGCATTACCAAAAATGTTATAAGAAGTCTTTCAGATAGGAGGAGTAATTGCAGACGGGAACACAGATCTAATAAGTGCACTAGAATTGTT